TTTCAGGAATTTTGTCATATTTTCTCGTCCTATTGTTAGATCATTTGTATTATTTTCATATATTTCTTTCTTATTTTTTTCAAGGATTTTTTTCCCATTGTATCAATCTTGTTTTGTTCATATCCATTCTTCTGTTGAGAGTGACGCACATTAAAAAGTGCTGTGGACCTTCCAGCCCGATCGTGTCCTGCTTTTACCAACCCTGTGTCTGTCTTTCATTTCTACAGCACTAGGGGAAGTATTTGTCTGAACTGGGATAATGTACAAATGTGGCATTGACCAGAAAAAGGATGCTTCCGGGTGCCAGGTTGTAACAAAACTGCTCATTTCCACCTGTCGTCTCTGGGAAGGTCAAAGTTAGAGTCACAGAAACTGAAGCTAAAATCTGAAAGTAGATATTTCACTATGATATTGTATAGTTTTCACTTAACAATCAATTCATTATCATTTTACCAAAAATCTGTATATTATTATGTTTGTTAATCTTTTTTTTTCATTCCTACCATCTTCCTACCATTTCCTGAATTTAGCTTTGGCTAGCCAGTAGCACGAGTGAAGGAAAGACAAAGCACCGCTCCTCTTGATTGGCTCTTGGTTGTTCTACTGTTGCTTCCTAAAAATCTATTTATTTAGCAAAAACCACTTAAATAGTCTGTTTGAGTTAGTGCTACTCAGCTTGTTCCACAAAAGGCAAACACTATATGAGTACATCAGTGGTCGGTCAGTCCAGTCCATCTATGGTCCATGTCAGCACATGATAATAATCGGTTAGAATTATCTAATTTAAACCCATGGACTAAGACAGAATCAAACAACAAAAACAATACATTTTGATCATAAATTCACTTAAATCCTGCCCAAAACTTTCGGAGAACTTGATATAAATACTTGAAGTGTAATTAAACGCCATTATTGAAAGGACGGCATAAGAAATGCCGTTTGGCATGGATAGAACACTCAGATTGTGCAAAAGAGGAAATGTGCAAACATGTTACATGCAGGATATATACTGTATGTACAATAAAAGTGGCAATTTAAAGTGGCAGTCAGATATAGTGATTGCCCCTTTAAATTGCCACTTTTATTGTACATATATATGGGGGGCTCAGCTACTATTTGGTCAGATGAGACAAAAATTGAAATATGGGGGGGGGGGAGCATCATGCTATGGAGCTGCTTTTCTACAGTCTATGTCAGCAGATGCAGGTTTTTTACCCATGGATAAAGACAGAATACCAGTACAAGACAACCAAAACATTACATTTTGACCTTAAACTCACCCTGTATTCACCTAAATCATGTCCCAACATCTCTGAGAACTTGGTATAAATACTTGAAACTTGAAAGCCCAAAGAATGCACCATATTTGTCGGGTCCTTCTTGTGGTTTTGATCCGTCCTGTGATCTGCTCCTGTCCTGGTTCTCTCTTCTACGCGGCTGTGATTACGGGTTAGACGTTAAACTACGGCTGCAAGAAGTCTTCAAAAGAAACGCGTTCAAAGGGCCTCACATCCGACCTGCTCTTGTAAAGACTTCCCCTTTAACGTATAGTAGTAATGTATAGAAATCACATGTTATCAAGCTGCAGATGGAGGTATGAGCGGTTGGCAGCGGCGTCAACACAGAAGCAGCAGAAATACCAACGCACACCTGTGTTTAGCTCCCAGATCCCTCGAGGTAAAGATAGATTGTTTACGTCTATGTATGTCTAAGAACACAGGTTATAAATAAAAGGGGAGCAGGATGTTTTGTACGTCTCCAGCTTTAAGAGGTAGGACGCATTAAAAAGCTAGGGTGTCTGCTTGTTTCTGTAAATGAGATATGTTTTGTTTGTCACGAAAGAAATTGCCTGGTAAAATATTGTGAGCAAAAAGAGTAGTTCCTTGCCGACGTGGGAGGGTCTAAAGACAGTGGTGATGATCCAGGACTTGTCTCTCTGTGTCTATACTGTATGTACCTGTGTCTCTCTGTGTCTGTATGTACCTGTGTCTATATGTACCTGTGTTTCTGTGTCTATATGTACCTGTGTCTCTGTGTCTATATGTACCTGTGTTTCTGTGACTATATGTACCTGTGTTTCTGTGACTATATGTACCTGTGTCTCTGTGTCTATATGTACCTGTGTCTCTGTGTCTATATGTACCTGTGTTTCTGTGTCTATATGTACCTGTGTCGCTCTGTGTCTGTATGTACCTGTGTCTCTCTGTGTCTATATGTACCTGTGTCTCTGTGTCTATATGTACCTGTGTCTCTGTGTCTATATGTACCTGTGTCTCTGTGTCTATATGTACCTGTGTCTCTGTGTCTATATGTACCTGTGTCTCTCTGTGTCTATATGTACCTGTGTCTCTGTGTCTATATGTACCTGTGTCTCTCTGTGTGTATATGTACCTGTGTCTCTCTGTGTCTATATGTACCTGTGTCTATATGTACCTGTGTCTCTGTGTGTCTATATGTACCTGTGTCTCTGTGTCTATATGTACCTGTGTCTCTCTGTGTCTATATGTACCTGTGTCTCTGTGTCTATATGTACCTGTGTCTCTCTGTGTGTATATGTACCTGTGTCTCTCTGTGTCTATATGTACCTGTGTCTATATGTACCTGTGTCTCTCTGTGTCTATATGTACCTGTGTCTCTCTGTGTCTATATGTACCTGTGTCTCTCTGTGTCTGTATGTACCTGTGTCTCTCTGTGTCTATATGTACCTGTGTCTCTCTGTGTCTGTATGTACCTGTGTCTCTGTGTCTATATGTACCTGTGTCTCTCTGTGTCTATATGTACCCGTGTCTCTGTGTCTATATGTACCTGTGTCTCTCTGTGTGTATATGTACCTGTGTCTCTCTGTGTCTATATGTACCTGTGTCTCTGTGTCTATATGTACCTGTGTCGCTCTGTGTCTGTATGTACCTGTGTCTCTGTGTCTATATGTACCTGTGTCTCTCTGTGTCTATATGTACCTGTGTCTCTGTGTCTATATGTACCTGTGTCTCTGTGTCTATATGTACCTGTGTCTCTCTGTGTCTATATGTACCTGTGTCGCTCTGTGTCTGTATGTACCTGTGTCTCTGTGTCTATATGTACCTGTGTCTCTCTGTGTCTATATGTACCTGTGTCTCTGTGTCTATATGTACCTGTGTCTCTGTGTCTGTATGTACCTGTGTCTCTGTGTCTATATGTACCTGTGTCTCTGTGTCTATATGTACCTGTGTCTCTGTGTCTATATATACCTGTGTCTCTGTGTCTATATGTACCTGTGTCTCTCTGTGTCTATATGTACCTGTGTCTCTGTGTCTGTATGTACCTGTGTCTCTGTGTCTATATGTACCTGTGTCTCTGTGTCTATATGTACCTGTGTCTCTCTGTGTCTATATGTACCTGTGTCTCTCTGTGTCTATATGTACCTGTGTTTCTGTGTCTATATGTACCTGTGTCTCTGTGTCTATATGTACCTGTGTCTCTCTGTGTCTATATGTACCTGTGTCGCTCTGTGTCTGTATGTACCTGTGTCTCTGTGTCTATATGTACCTGTGTCTCTCTGTGTCTATATGTACCTGTGTCTCTGTGTCTATATGTACCTGTGTCTCTGTGTCTATATGTACCTGTGTCTCTCTGTGTCTATATGTACCTGTGTCTCTGTGTCTATATGTACCTGTGTCTCTCTGTGTGTATATGTACCTGTGTCTCTCTGTGTCTATATGTACCTGTGTCTCTCTGTGTCTGTATGTACCTGTGTCTCTCTGTGTCTATATGTACCTGTGTCTCTCTGTGTCTGTATGTACCTGTGTCTCTGTGTCTATATGTAGCTGTGTCTCTCTGTGTGTATATGTACCTGTGTCTCTCTGTGTCTATATGTACCTGTGTCTCTGTGTCTATATGTACCTGTGTCTCTCTGTGTCTATATGTACCTGTGTCTCTCTGTGTCTATATGTACCTGTGTCTCTCTGTGTCTGTATGTACCTGTGTCTCTCTGTGTCTATATGTACCTGTGTCTCTCTGTGTCTATATGTACCTGTGTCTCTGTGTCTATATGTACCTGTGTCTCTCTGTGTCTATTTGTACCTGTGTCTCTGTGTCTGTATGTACCTGTGTCTCTGTGTCTATATGTACCTGTGTCTCTGTGTCTATATGTACCTGTGTCTCTGTGTCTATATGTACCTGTGTCTCTGTGTCTATATGTACCTGTGTCTCTGTGTCTATATGTACCTGTGTCTCTCTGTGTCTGTATGTACCTGTGTCTATATGTACCTGTGTCTCTGTGTCTATATATACCTGTGTCTCTGTGTCTATATGTACCTGTGTCTCTCTGTGTCTATATGTACCTGTGTCTCTGTGTCTGTATGTACCTGTGTCTCTCTGTGTCTGTATGTACCTGTGTCTCTGTGTCTATATGTACCTGTGTCTCTGTGTCTATATGTACCTGTGTCTCTGTGTCTATATGTACCTGTGTCTCTGTGTCTATATGTACCTGTGTCTCTGTGTCTATATGTACCTGTGTCTCTGTGTCTATATATACCTGTGTCTCTGTGTCTATATGTACCTGTGTCTCTGTGTCTATATGTACCTGTGTCTCTGTGTCTATATGTACCTGTGTCTCTGTGTCTATATATACCTGTGTCTCTGTGTCTATATGTACCTGTGTCTCTCTGTGTCTATATGTACCTGTGTCTCTGTGTCTAAATGTACCTGTCTCTATAAGTACCTGTGTCTATACGTACCTGTGTCTCTGTGTCTAAATGTACCTGTGCTCCTCTCACTTGTTGCTGGTCCATGGTTGTGTCCCTGTCCTTCTTCTTGTTTTTTGAATTTAGTTTGTATTTTGTGTTTTTTTCAATCCTGGACTTTTAATTATTATCTTTTAATAAATAATTTTTTGTGTATTCCTGCCTTTTAGAGTCCTCCGTCCTCTCACCACGTAACACAAAGATATAAAAAAGGAAAATCCTGATAAGAGAAAGGGGTGTCTACACTTTCTCATGCCCCTGTACATGGCCGCCTCTCACCTCCAGTGTCGTGAGGACGATTTTATCCACAGACGAGAAATATGCCTCCCACAGCATCTGCGTCCTCTGCCTCAGGGCCAGGATCCTCTCGTTGCCCACGGCGCGCACCATGGACGGCACCTGCAGCCAAAGAAATACATATGTGCAATTTAGAGCAAGAAGAACGAGAGGTTTTAAATCTGGTGACTGTGTAGCCTTGGAATTTATCATTAAGAAATATTTTTTTAGTGCCATTCAGTTGTAAAAAAGCAAAAGGGATATTTCTAAATGAATCAATCCAAGTGCACCCCCGTCTACATTAAAGAAGCAATATGTAAGATTTTCATGTCAAGCCATCATTAAAGGGCCTAATCTGTCAAAAGCATAAATAAAACCAGGATCTTTTAAAGTACCTATTTAACTGATAACAGTAGTTAAGAGATATTTGAATGTCCCGCCCTCCACCGTTTCACCAATCAGAAAGTCTGTGAGCCGGGCGCCAGAACTCACCGCGTGGAGCTAATCTCACTGGTAAAGTACCATGTGGCGCAGAACTAAAAAAGGTCTCGTTATGATTCTCAAATCATTAAACGACAAAACAAGGAATAAAAACGAGGATTTCTATCTTTGTGAAAAAGGTGTTGGTTATAGATTTGTTGTTGACAAAACTCTTGTCTATTCAGCTGTTATGGTCCCAGATGGATTCGTCTGCATATCTGGCAACCGGAGTCAGGGAGAGTGGGAGAGGCTGCAGTACCACTTTTGTACAGAGTTTTACGTACAGCTCCTTTAAGAAAATCTAAAATATGGTGTTATTTGCCATTTGCAGTAAAACCACATTGGAATACATGTGCAAAAGTCCTCAGTGTGCACCGGTACCAGCTAAAAAGTACCAGAAAGAATTGTCACCGTGAAACCAATCAGTTTAACTAGTGCTTTGTTAAACGTACCCAAACAGACCAACACGTTTAAGTCATTTGTTATTGTAGGAGGAAGAACATTTAAATGATTTCTGAGCCAGATCCAGGTCTCACGAATATCACAGAAAGTATAATGCTTCCCGCTCCTCGCTCTGGGCAAATGGATCTTAATTAGTGGGATTTCAGCTGAATCACCGAGTATTTCACAGTCTTTCAATCTGCTTTTCTAACAGAGGGAACTTAAAGACACTTATGGTAATGCTCTCGCAGCAATTAAGACTCTTTCTCCAGACTTGTTCTTCAGCCTCCACACTTTGTTCTTTATTTCACTTATTAAAACAATCTCTTGACATTGCATTTATGGCTTAAAGACAAGGAGCCCAAACTTTCTTAGAAGAGAGCCATTTTAGCAAACCAGACGTGTCCCGGTGCTAAATATTAGGGCTGGGAATCTGCAAAAAGGTGACGATTCGATAGTATTGCAAGATTTTCATGTCAAGTCATCATTAAAGGGCCCTATTCTGTCAAAAGGCATAAAACATGCTCTTTTCCAACACTTCTTTAACTGATAACAGTAGTTCAGAGATATTTGAATTTTAAAATTAGTTTTACAGCCCCTAAATCTTGTTATTGTTATCATTTTGATGTCCTGCCCTCCACCGTTTCACTAATCAGAAAGTCTGTGATTCATGTGGTACAGAACTATACAAGGTCTTGTTATGATTCTCAAATCAGTAAAGCAAAAACAAGGAATAAAACCAGGATTTCTATCTTTGTGAAAAAGGTGTTGGTTATAGATTTGTTGTTGACAAAACTCTTGTCTATTCAGCTGTTATGGTCCCAGCTGGATTCGTCTGCATATCTGGCAACCTGAGTCAGGGAGAGTGGGAGAGGCTGCAGTACCACTTTTGGCCACATTTTTATAAACTGCTCCTTTAACATTTTGCAATACAGCATGTTTTGGGGTCAATTCTGCGATTAATTACAATTCATGTCTCTCTTATTATTCAAAAGCAAAAAAAAATAGGAAGTGAAGTGACATTTTTATGGTCTGGATGGTCTCTATGATGTCTGTCAAAATAAGCAGACGTCATAGAGTCACAACACATTTGACTCAGCTGAAGTTGGCTGAATGACAAACCTTCTCACTATAGCTACTGCTGTACAAATCTGAGTTGTATAGATTCAATTTAATTCAATGTACTCCTGTATAGCCCTAAATAACAATAGCTACCTCAGTACTCTACAAAGCTGTCGATTCGCCAACGCAGATCAGAGAATCCAACCGTTAAAACACAAGAACCCAATGATAGAAAACACACAGAGCCTTAGAGTCCATAAAGGGCAGAGACCGACGTCCATGAGGGTTGATGAATGTCCATAAATGCGTTCTAACTTAAAGTGATTGTCTGGAGTTTGTCAGAAAAAAGAGAGAGGTGTACATGATTTGAAAAAAACAGCTCAAGCTCCTCCCCCTTCCTTTCTGATTGGTCTACACCTACGTTTCCGTAACAATCAATCAACGCATTTAAATGTTAATCCGAGAACACATTATACTTATACATTATTAATACACATGCACGGAGGTTTTAAGAATTATCTGTTCACGATTTCATGACAAAAATTATGTTTTAATGCACACAAAAAACGATCGTGGTAAACCCGGAAGTAGCTATTAACGTTGATTGAACATTATCTGCAGACGATCTGATTATGGATATAGGTTCAGTATATAAATGATTATGGATATAGGTTCAGTATATAATGAAGGCTTGATTCGGAGGCTCCTTGAAAACAAACAACTGAGCATCAGCACCAATGATTGACAGCCCTTGGCATCACTTGATTGGTTAACGTGGACGGCATCGTGGATTCTGAGCAAAGAGAAGGGAAGGCGGGACTTGCCGGTAATATTAGAATTCATAAAATGACTTATTTTATATTATCATTTAAGGCCAGGAGGTCAATTTACTACAATTCTTAAAATGTGTAATTAATTTAGAGTTACAGACTATCACTTGAATATTAAACCATTCAAACACATTTACACACTAATTCATTCAAGGTCTAAGTATTTATTCACTGTCTCTTTGATGCAACATGAAAAGAAACAGCCTTGGTTCATCTCTCGTAAATAGAGTTTGGGAGATCGTTACATTGCAGAGAATTTATCCTTTACGCCTGTTGTGAAATCAATAGAAATTTGATTCTTATTTTCTACGTAATCTTAAGATAAATGTTGTGTATTTGCCCCTGTCTTTTTGTCTATGGGCTGTTTTTCATTGAAACATTAACCGAGTAAAGAACCAGAGACAATGATGGATGCAGTGAATAAAAAAGTGCATTAAATGAGTCGGTATCTCAAGGCTTCCACATAGACTCAGAACATTCACATCAGGGCTGAACTTACAGGAAGAGATTCAATTGATTTTTTATAAAAGCATATTATTTCAAGCCTTCAGTTCTTCTCAGTATCTCACAGACCCTAGATATATTTTTTGCTTGTGACACATATGTATACGTGTACTGTACAAATGTTAGGGATAATGTATAGTACGCAGGTCATTATCGGAAAATAAGTACCGACAGGGCGAAGCGGACCCTGATGCGGACCCTGATGTAGAGCTGCAACTAACGATTATTTTGTAATCGATTAATCTATCGATTATTTTGTCGATTAATCGAGTAATCGCTTGGCTGTGAAATGTGTAGAAAAAATGTATTTTTTCATCACAAAAAGCTAAAGTGGCAACACTCGAGGACGTATTGATGGCGTAAACTTAAAGTAAATGTTTGTAAAAGGCTCTTTGTGCTAATTCTGCTCTGATTGGATGAGACACAGATATTCATGAAATTATAAAAACAAAGTCGGTTTTAATCAAAAATACCACATTTTCATGTCATTTTTGCTCTGTTTGAGTCCGTGTGAACCAGAAAACGATTAATCGATTACTAAAATAGTTGTCGACTATTTCAATAATCGATTAGTCGTCGATTAATCGATTCGTTGTTTCAGCCCTACCCTGATGCGGACCCTGATGCGGACCTTGATGCGGACCTTGTGTCTATGCTAGCAACAGTTAGGCTGGCAACTTCCAAACTAGAACTCTCTGGAACTGCATGAAAACTGAACAAAGAATTCTGAACCTCAGCGGTGAGTGACCCAAACATAAACTTAACCTAAATCCATAATTTGATCCTCTGCAAATGTTCCTAAAATGTCCCTGAATCTACTTCCGGGTTTGAAATTATTCCGCTTCATCCGTTGCCGGGTCGCGGGGGCAGCAGTCTAAGCAGAGACGCCCAGACTTCCCTATCCACACACACTTCCTCCAGCTCGTCCGGGGGGACCCCAAGGCGTTCCCAGGCCAGCTGAGAGACAATGGCCCCGTCCCAATACTCGCACTTCCACCCTCGCGCACCTCATTTGCGCGTTCCCGATAAAGGGTGCGAGTGCGTAGGGCGTCCCAATTCTCCAGGGAGGTCTTTGGCCCCGCCCCCTTTGCGCCCCTGATCCACACTTCGCCGTAGCCTGCATCTATGCGCACTCTGGCGAAGGATATTGCCCATAATTCTTTGCGGTACACACCAAAACGTCGGGAAAATGCATTTAAATATACATTTTGAAATATATATGCAGTATGTGTGTAAATAAGTTTTGCTGTTACTTGGAAAGAAGCATAAACGTCTGATGAAGAATTACGGACATTATGTTTTAACAATTTAATAACTTTTTAAAGCAACCGTTTATATAACATTCAATTTAAACTTTACAATTAGTACAATAATCTTAGAATGTATAAAAACTGACCAGATAGTTAGTTACCCACATTTAACTTAAAATTATACAGCTATCTCTAATTAAAAACAACTAATATACATGTATTTTAACGTGTGTGAAGCAATTCATTTTGTTTCCCAAAGGGTCAGACAAAATTACCTTTAATTTTTATAAAGTTTAGGTCTGAAAATGACCATCTCTTGACGAGTCGATGACGTAACCTGCACTCAGTGTGCACTGTCCCAATTCTGCCTTTTTTGCACGCTTGTAACCTGCGCACTCCAACCCTGGTGTGCACTTTGAACAAATGCACACTTCGTAGAGGTGTGTAGGGTGCAGTGTGGGTATTGGGACTGGGCCATAGTCCCTCCTGGGTCTTCCCCGGGGCCTCCTCCCGGTGGGACGTGCCCGGAACACCTCCCCAGGGAGGCGTTCAGAAGGCATCCGGAACAGATGCCCGAGCCACCTCAACTGGTTCCTCTCGACGTGGAGTAGCAGCGGCTCTACTCCGAGCTCCTCCCGTGTGACTGAGCTCCTCACCCTATCTCTAAGGGAGATACCTGTGGTCCCCAAACCGGACCCCCTCCAGCCCCTGGCTGCGCCTAGAAATTCTGTCCATGAATACAGTGAACAGAACCGGTGACAAAGGGCAGCCCTGGCGGAGGCCAACATGCACCGGGAACAGGTCTGACTTACTGCCGGCAATGCGAACACAGCTCTGGCTCGGGTTCAGATCAGCGGGGCCGTTCTTCCCGATCACCCCTCTCCAAATGTCACTGGCGTTTCCCACATGGGCGTTGAAGTCCCCCAGGAGAATAACGGAGTCCCTGGGCGGTGCACTGTCCAGTACCCCTCCCAAGGACTCCAAGAAGGCCGGGTACTCTGCACTGCTGTTAGGCCCGTAGGCCGTCACAACGGTGAGAGACTTGTCCCCCACCCGGAGGCGGAGGGACGCGACCCTCTCATTCACCGGGGAGAATTCCAACACGTGGCGGCTGAGATGGGGGCCAATGAGTATGGCCACCCCAGTTCGCCGCCTCTCCCCGCAAGAGACTAGCTCCGGAGTGGCCGGAACTACTTGCGGAGTAATCTACACATCTGAATTACAAGCAGAGGGTGCGTTGCCAAAGGGCAGCGGTCATTATTGTTTTGAGAGGTTAATTGTAAAGGAATTAATGACCGGTAGAAAGTTTTGAAATTACACTCAAATCAATAGAGGGTTCTACTGCTGCTGTGAGGAGCGTTTAATAAATACATATCTTTTTTGAAAGACGTGAAAGAAAGTCTAAAAGCATTTACACTGTCCTGTCTTTGCGCTGCAACATTGAAATTTCCCCACTGTGGGATGAATAAACCAAGTCTTATCTTATCTCATATTGCATGGAATGTTTGTGATTCTATTTCCAGAACTCTATGGGAATACGACTTCTGTTGTGATTCAGGGCTGTACACAAATATATGGATTTTAATTTGGAAAGTGTTTTTTACAATAATACATTGTACTGGGTGCAGCTCTGACTGCCACCCCCCCGACCCAGAAATGGATTAAGGGGAAGAAAATGGGTGGATGGATGGACTTTTTTTTTTTACAGAGCAGGACGCTCAAAGACACTTCACATGTTGTTATTCTTTCACTCCAAACACGGCGGTGATAAACTACTACTATAGCCACAGCTGCCCTGGGGCACACTGAAAGAAGCGAGGCAACCATTCTGGGCCATCGGCCCCTCCCACCACCACCAACCATTCACACACACACCAGACTCATTCTAATGTGGGGGAAGTGTCTTGCCTTAGGACATAACAACAGTTTGGCACTTTACAGCCGCAGCCGCCCCACTGTGGCACCTGCTGTTCCCAGAGGTCTCCCATCACACAGTACTAACCAGGCCCTGCTTGGCTTCAGAGGTCTGACTGGATCTGGCTTTTACCAGCAGGTATGGCCTCATTGTTATTGTTGTTTTAGTTCAGGGGTCGGCAACCCGCGGCTCCGGAGCCGCATGCGGCTCTTGAGTGCTCCTGGAGTGGCTCCTGGAGCCTTTTCAAAAATGTCTGAAAATGGAGTGTGAGGGCTATATTTTATTTCTAGTTTGAATGTGGTTTCTGTAGAAGGAAAAACAATCTTTAAGTTTTTAAATGCTGTAAAAATATGTATAAGTAATATCTAATTTCAACATTTCTGTCAACGCGGCCCCGCCCCATGCGGCCGCTGCTGTAAACAAACCGGCGTGTGAGCATGATAGACTGTAGGTGCGCATGGATCCCAAAGATAAAACGAGAAAGAGTCGATAACAAGACTGGACTAAGAATGAGAATTAACATTTTCTTTCAGTCAATGAGGAAGGACTGCTTCATGTTTGTAATGAAAAGTTTTGTTGCAACACGAGGAACAATGACGCGCAAAACACTGTAAACGGTGAACACGTGAAGGATTCATTCATCAAAAATTCAGAGCACCTATTTTCAGACTTCAAAACCTTCTCAAAGACGGTGAAAGAAAAGGCCATTAAGGATTTTAATTCAGCTCCAGCAAACTTCAGCCTGTGACGTGATGGATATGAGCAGACAGTGATGCAGGTATGTGACCTCTGAGCCCAAAGCAGATTGATTTACTGTATTTCTATAATTGCATGAAGGCAAAAAAATGGAAGTTAAACTAAAGCAGAGTTGTCCCGTGTTGCGTCATTCACGACACGCGTGGTGCGACACGCTGCAGTGAAAATACACATTTGATAATCATGAATGATTATTATGTATTTGTAGCCTTTACTTTGTCATTTAGATATTAGGCTAATATAGCTAATACAGCTGCAGCCTGTGTTAACTTCATAAAAGCCAAGGCTGTTATTTTTTTGCGGCTCCAGACAGATGTTGTTTTTAGTTTTTTTGTCAATTATGGCTCTTTGAACATTTTGGGTTCCCGACCCCTGTTTTAGTTGATTTGTTTGTTTGGGGGGTCATTGACTTCTCCCTTCTGTTATCAAAGTATCTACAACTATTCTATATTTTTATCACAGCCTCATTCTCCAGCGTCCGTGCTCTGCTCTGATTGTCCGTCAGATCAGAGACTCAGCGCAGTAAACCTGTAAACCCGTAAACCCGCCTGAATCACAGCTGTTTAATCTCCCACAGGTGCCGTTTGATACAGCTCTGTGGTGCTGAGAGGACTGTGTCAGGACTGAGCTGATATGTGGATACAATCAAACAAAACAAAAAATGACAGTGACATACGTAAGATGGAGTCCGACCTGGGTCTGAGGACAAGGTCATTTTTGCTTATCTCTGGGAACATTCATTGATATCATTGTTATCTGTTTCTGCTGCCGATGGCTTTGTAAATTGGTTTTGGTGAATCAAAACGACCAAGTGACTGGGACTCCATTTTGGTAGTACTCTTGTGGATGGCCGAAGTGAGAGTACTACCAAAATGGAGTCCCCGTCACTTTGTTCTTCGTTTTGTGATCCAGCAAAAATTTTTAAGGAAGTTTTATATTAACTTATTATTAATCTCACAACGGAGATAGGTGTTTTATTTGGCCTCGGTAAGATCACTCAGGGTGTGTAAGTAGTTAAAAAATACAAAAAAGATAATATATAGAGATCCTTATTCATCCCACAGTGAGGAAAGGCCAGTGTTGCGTCACAAGTTAAAAAACAGCAGGAATATAGATATATGGTATCTAATGTCAATGTCTAACGTCTAAATCATATTCTGAGGTAGACATACACAACAGGATTAAATGTATATAATATTTATGGAGTTGAGGAGGCACTTTGCAGCTCGAGCAGTAAGTCTAGTTTATTTGTGTAGCGCTGCTGGTGTGAGTGTGGATCACCTGCAGCAGGAGCCTCTCGTCGCCCTCCAGCACCGCCTGGTTCCACTGGATCACATCAGAGAAGGGCAGCTCCCATCCGTTACTGAGAAGGACAGGTACACACGCGGCCTGCACACACACACACACACACACACACACATTATTTATTATGCATTTATATATGAACACAATCAGGACGTTTCTCTGTGATGTGATGGTCCTAGTGGAAAGTTTACAAAGTCATACCGTCCTTGTATTGAATGAAGAGAGTTGACCTGGTCCTCAATATGTGTGTATATATATATATATATATATATGTGTGTGTGTGCGTGCATGAGCATTTGCATGTGTGTGTGAGTATACTGAATATATGTGAATGCATGTGTATCTATGCGTGTGTATGTGTGCATATGTGTTTGAATGTCTTTGTGTGTCCATGTATATGCGAGTGTGTGCGTGTACGTTTGCGTTTGCATGTGTGTGGGATTATGCAGTGCCTTGCGAAAGTAGAATACTTTCGCCACATTTCAGGCTTCAAACATAAAGATATAAAATTTTATTTTTTTGTCATGAATCAACAACAAGTGGGACACAATCGTGAAGTGGAACAAAATTTATTGGATAATTTAAACTTTTTTAACAAATAAAAAACGGAAAAGTGGGGCGTGCAATATTATTCGGCCCCTTTACTTTCAGTGCAGCAAACTCAGTCCAGAAGTTCAGTGAGGATCTTTGAATGATCCAATGTTGTCCTAAATGACTGATGATGATAAATAGAATGCTCCTGTGTGTAATCAAGTCTCCGTATAAATGCACCTGCTCTTTGATAGTCTCAGGGTTCTGTTTAAAGCGCAGAGAGAACCATGAAGACAAAGGAACACACCAGGCAGGTCCGAGATACTGTTGTGGAGAAGTTTAAAGCCGGATTTGGATACAAAAAGATTTCCCAAGCTTTAAACATCTCAAGAAGCGCTGTGCAAGCAATTATATTGAAATGGAAGGAGTATCAGACCACTGCAAATCTACCAAGACCGGGCCGTCCCTCCAAACTTTCATCTCAAACAAGGAGAAGACTGATCAGAGATGCAGATATCTGACACTTTGGGCTGAGAGCAGAGACCAAAAATACATGTACTGTTTGAACTTGAGATAGAACCAAACTGTTTCGAGAGCGAGGACCAAGTCACATTTTGTCTTTATATATAAAAATGAAAATACCACAGTCCATTTTCTTGTTCCCATGATTCTGTGGACCAGTTCCTCTCAGTCACAGCTTTTTAAACACACCACAAAGTGAAGACTAATAATGAGCAGGAGCAGGAGGTTTTCTGAAGAGGCGGCGAACAAAACAAACGCTGCTTATGAACCCAAACGTTCTCTGACAGAGGTTTGAAGTCGTGTTCTCGCAGTGATCCTCAGTTGTGCGTCTGTCACACGGAGAGTAATGTGGCTTTGTGCGATTATTTAACTCGACGGGTCTGAGGTCTGAACTCACGGAGGTACAAACACATTAATTTTCTCACTGAGACAATATCGGCCACAGTTTCATTCAGACATCTTGTGGATTACAGACTTATGTGACTTCTCAGATGGCAGGTCATGCTATGCTATATTGTACATGTGTTTAGCGGTAGGGGAAACCGAAGCACCCGGAGGAAACCGAAGCAGACGCGGGAAGAACATGCAAACTCCACTCAGAAAGGCCCTGTTCTGAGAGTGCTAACCACTCAGCCACTGTGCCGCCCACCGTGTTGTAATGGAAGACGACACCACCCCTACTACTATTATTAGCCACTAATTTTTTACTATTTTTTTGTTATAAATGTTGCTCAAAGGAACACTGGGAATAACAATTTTGTTTAATCACAGGTGATGGATTCAAAACACATTTTCAGTCTAGGGTTCTCCTTGAGCCTTTAGGTCTGAGTTGGATCTTTAATGTGACAACGTTTAGGCCGATTGCAACCTAAATGGGCAGAGTGCAGAGTGATACGGCAGGAACTAAACCCGGGGTACCTAAACAAACACATTTAAAATGATCTAATACGTTAGGGATAACGTATAGTACGCAGGTCATTATCGGAAAATAAGTACCGACAGGGCTAAAGGTACTTATTTTCCGATAATGACCTGTGTAATATACGTTATCCCGCTTATTACAGGGCTTTATACCAACAGAACACACAACATAAACTTCAGTCCACTTTTAGGAATGCCAAAAGGTTTATTTAAAATAAGAAAGAAAATAAAATAGTTCCCAAAGGTTTTCCCGTGGCTATGCTAGCAACTGTTAGGCTGGCAACTTCCAAACTAGAACTCTCTGGAACTGCATGAAAACTGAACAAAGAATCCTGAACATCAGCGGTGAGTGACCCAAACATAAACTTAACCTAAATCCATAATTCCATCCTCTGCAAATGTGTCCGAAAATGTGCCGGTATCTTAAAATGTGCCGGTATCTTAAAATGTGCCGTATCTACTGTATCTACTTCCGGGTTTTTCGGGATCGCCTTTTCTCGCATTACATCAGTGTTTTTGTCATGAAAACGTAAATGGAACATTCTGAAAACCTCCGTGCACTTGTATTAAGAATGTATATGTATAATGTACTCTCCGATTAACATTTAATGGCGTTGATTGATTGGCATTTGCGTTTAATGACCGTGGCTAGCTCCGGAGTGGCTGGAACTACTTCCGGGTTTTGATGGGTTTCCGGGTTTTCATGATCGCTTTTTGACGCAGATACATGGTATTTTTGTCATGAAGACAAGAGCAGTAAATTCTGAAAATCTCCGTGCACGTGTGTGAAGAATGTATAAGTATAAGTATTCTCCGATTAACATTTAAGTGTGTTGATTGATTGGTATTTGCGTTTATTGAGCGTGGCTAGCTCCAGAGTGGCCGGAACTACTTGCAGAGTTATCCACGCATCTGAAAGACAAGCAGAGAGTGCGTTGCCAAAGGGCAGCGGTCATTATTGTTTTGAGAGGTCCGTTATAGAAAATAATGACCGGTAGAACGTTTTGAAATTACATTCAAATCAATGGAGCGTTCTCCTGCTGCTGTGAGGAGCCGTATAATAAATAACATTTAACTTGTCCCTCGCTCTCGAAGCAGTTTGGTTCATTCCCTCGTTTCAAATGCATGTTTGGTTTGGTGTTTGTCACATCTTTAGATTACATTTTTCAGTCAAAAAAGTTAAAAAGAGAAGACTCAGCTCACTCAGGCAAACACTTTTCAGCCCAAAGTGTCATACAGTGACTCACAGGGCTCTTTCCTACAAGTATGCAAACGATAAAATATTTTCTAAGAAGATTTATCAGTTTTTACTTTTGTCCTTGTGGCCTTAAAGGAATAGTTCACCGTTTTTACATACTGACAAATGTTCTTACCTTACCTTACCTTAGACTAGTTAATACGTACCTGTCTGGTCTTAGTCCGTGCGCTCTGTCATGCAAACGGAGCAAAAACTGGAGCACAACCGCAGCCTCCTCTGTATATTTTGTAGCACCAAAAGGTAGCTCCCGCTAGAAGCTACCAAACTCTTCCAAGTGTTCCCTATTAAATGTATATAGTTACGTGACGTGTTACACTGCAAAGTATAGTAACACAGAAATGTAACTGTCGATTTTCTCAGCGGATAAAACGGGTACTATATTGTGAGGCGTAGTAATCTGAGGAGCGCTACGTCCGCGCACTAACTTCTCTCCGGAGACTTCTCTCTCGCTGCTACTGTGTGTACTACAAGTCACGCTGCTTCTATTGACGGAAGTGAGCGAGAGAGAAGTCTCCGGAGAGAAGTTAGTGCGCGGACGTAGCGCCCCTCAGATTACTACGCCTCACAATATAGTACCCGTTTTATCCGCTGAATAAAACGCAAAATATACAGAGGAGGCTGCGGTTGTGCTCCCGTTTTTGCTCCGTTTGCATGACAGAGCGCACGGACTAAGACCAGACAGGTACGTATTAACTAGTCTAAGGTAAGGTAAGAACATTTGTCAGTATGTAAAAACGGTGAACTATTCCTTTAAAGGAGCAGTGTGTAAAAATCTGGCCAAAGGTGGTACTGCAGCCTCTCCCACTCTCCCTGACTCAGGTTGCCAGATATGCAGACGAATCCAGCTGGGACCATAACAGCTGAATAGACAAGAGTTTTGTCAACAACAAATCTATAACCAACACCTTTTTCACAAAGATAGAAATCCTGGTTTTATTCCTTGTTTTGTCGTTAATGATTTGAGAATCAAAACGAGACCTTTTTTAGTTCTGCGCCACATGGTACTTTACCAGTGAGATTAGCTTGATGCGGTGAGTTCAGACTTTCTGATTGGTAAAATGGTGGAGGGCGGGACAACAAAATGAAAACAATAAAAAGACTTAGAGTCTGTAAAACTAATATTGAAATTCAAATATCTCTGAACTACTGTTATCAGTTAAAGAAGTATTGGAAAAGAGCATGTTTTATTAAAGCCTTTTGACAGATTAGGGCCCTTTAATGATGACTTTACATGAAAATCTTACACATCACTACTTTATTAAACCATATTAATTTGCAGATCTATTCTTGGGTCCTTCCTGGTTTTATCTTGTGGCAATATTACCATCAATGCTACAAGTTTATCATAATAATTCAGGGTCAACAAAACATGGCTATGACACATGTGTTTTAGCTCAATATAGAGATTTGAACTGCACTAAATCTACCATAATAATCCTTGAGAGTCTGGGGTCGTCATCACACAGCAGGCACACGCACGTTTTGTCTTTCACGTTCGGAATTGGACCATAAACAATCGTCGGCCGCGGTGATAAACTTGGATCAAAGCGGCCGCTGTGACTGGTGGGCTGTTTTTACATCTGAGAATAGACGTGGTGAAGGAGGCGGCTTAAGAGCGATATCCCGGGGCCTCCGGTGTCTGTTAGGTTACATAAAGGTCGAAACAAAGGTTGGAGCCCGCGATAATCCAGGACCCAGGGGTGCCCCGAGGTTCCTCCATACCCACAATCGAGAGGCCACTCCTGGGCACTGGCACTGGCACGTCAGGGGGAAGACTCTGGAGCTTTGAAAACCAGAGACGGTCAAGGATTTTGGATGTGACATAAATACAGCTGACATAAACAGTAAATGT